CAGTCCGCGTACTGAATATAAATGTACGCGCGAAAAGCAAAAAAAAAATCAATCAGAATATATAGTTAGTAAGTACATAAGCGTATAAGGTTGCTAGTTATATATACGTGGTCATATACGTGGATTAAAAGTTCAATGGGGATTTAATTTTTATACGTATGGAAAATATGTATTTTTAAATATGTATTTTTCAAAAGTCAATGGGAATGCTGACCCCCTAACATTAAGAAGGCAAAAGTCTACGAAAAAGTATATGTTACAACACAAACAAAAAAAAATCGCTGTTTGGCCCAGCACACCCAACCGCAATGCAAAGCCGGCATAGTGGAATGCCCCTCCAGNGGTTGCTAGTTATATATACGTGGTCATATACGTGGATTAAAAGTTCAATGGGGATTTAATTTTTATACGTATGGAAAATATGTATTTTTAAATATGTATTTTTCAAAAGTCAATGGGAATGCTGACCCCCTAACATTAAGAAGGCAAAAGTCTACGAAAAAGTATATGTTACAACACAAACAAAAAAAAATCGCTGTTTGGCCCAGCACACCCAACCGCAATGCAAAGCCGGCATAGTGGAATGCCCCTCCAGACTTGAAGGGTGTACTGGCCTTCGCGTACTAGTTGCTGAACTATCTTTCGGTCTCAGTGCAGCCCACCGCAATGCAGCAAAGGGCAGTCACGCATGCCCCCCTGAGACATGTGAGGTGACTGAGACCCCGATAGTCAGTCGTGGTGGCAGTCCCAGCCCACTCCATCGCAATACGAAGGCGCTCAGGAGCGCCAGCGCNTTTCGGTCTCAGTGCAGCCCACCGCAATGCAGCAAAGGGCAGTCACGCATGCCCCCCTGAGACATGTGAGGTGACTGAGACCCCGATAGTCAGTCGTGGTGGCAGTCCCAGCCCACTCCATCGCAATACGAAGGCGCTCAGGAGCGCCAGCGCAGACCTATGGAGTGAGCTGGGTTCAAAAGAAAAATGTATATTTTAATTTTTTTTTCCCCCAAAGAAACAAGTCGCAAAAAAAACAAACAAAACAAAAAAAAATAATCGGCAAAAAAAAACTACTACAAAAACTATTTAAACTAAACCCCACTTAGCGGACTATTTTTCCCCAATTCCCATGCCGACATATCGGACCACTGACAAAAGCGGAGAAACAAAAAGTCAAATTACAAAAAAACTAAGTGCGTTTAGCACTGCCTCACCGGGTGAATGCAAAACTCCGGAGGACGTGACGTGAAGTCTCGGAGAAGCCTTCGGTTGCTGACCAAGAGGACCGATCCGAACCAGCATACTCAGCTCCACTTAACCCGCCGCAACGCAGCAAGGGGCAGCAAACACATGCCTCCCTGTGACTTGCGGGATGGTGAAGCCCAATGTGCCAGTCAGGACCAGTCAACCCGAGCAGACCTCAGGCTACCTCGTTGGGCGCCATCTGTTATGGTACGCTTACGATGGGAGCAGCAGTGAATGCAGACGGCATGACACAAAGGGGTGCTCTGTGGCTAGTCATGTCGGTTGGGCTGGGTTCTTGCATTCACTCCTTTTCCCTGCGCCATAGCAGAGAAAAGTCATGCCTGTCAAACATCTTCAGCTGCCGGCATGGCCGGAAGTATCGGACGGACACATAACGAAAATTCAAAAAAAAACTGAAAAAGAAACGTTAAATTGAAATGTTTAAAATAAAACTGAAAATCGAAAGAAACCAAAAATCTAACCAACTAAGAAACGCAAATGAACAAAACATACTTAAAACAAAGGCCGAATATGGTTGGGGCCACTGGCGTAAGTGCGGCCCCTGGTGCTGACCCACCCTCATCCATGGTCACCGGCGCACCCTATTTCCGATGACCCCATGATAGCTGCTTAATGTGCCCCCCTTAAGGAATGAGGAAAGTCAGCATTCTCATCTTATAATACAAAATTTACTTAAAATTCATTTTCTTAAAAACTAGTTCTTACCCTAATTGTATTCCCAAATGCTAACATTCCTAAGTCTAAGGTAAGTATAAGCAACTGTCAGAAAGTATTTTGATCGCGTCTTATAGGCTAAGTCCTAACACTATCCCTTATAAATTTTTATTTTTATTTTTTTTTTCCGAAGTCTAAACTTATATGATAGGTAATAATATTAGGGTAAGTACTGTAATGTTAGGGGTTCAATCGTGGTAAGTATTTTAATCAATTTAAATTCAGTCTAAGTTAAGGTGGTAGTGTATATTGATCTTACCAAAAGCAAATTTATTGTAAGTAGTAGCAGGAAGTGGCAAGTCTGGGTAAGTAGGTATGTTTAATCAGGTTTAGGGTTGTGATTTCGTTTCAAGTATTTAATTTTATTATTTTATTATTGTGGCCATTTCTTTATTATAAGTTATAATTACTATTAATATTTTTATTCCTTTTTTTCTTTTTTATTTTAGTTAGCGTAAGTATACAGTCCCGGGCTTGTGTTGTCTGGGTTGTACTTTTATTTAGTTTAATTAGTTTAACTTCATTTCATTTTATTTTACGTCATTGGATTTATTAAGTTTAATTTAATTAATTTTTATTTAGTTTAATTTACTTCCACTTTAATTTAATTTAATCTAATTATATTCAAGATTTTATTTTTTTTTTTCTCACTGTATGTAAGCATGTACGTATAATTCTATTCTGTTTTGATTGATTACAATTTCGTTCCTAGTTATTTTCCATTAATCAAATTTGCTTCGATGAGTAGGTCTACACCTTCGTAATACACACATGTACGTATGTAGGTACCTACACTGGTATATATATATATGTATGCTTTGGTTTCCTTAATTTATAAATTAATCCTATCTCTTATTTTAGTTTTGCACATACATATCTATATGTATGAGTATATGTGGCTAGGTTACCTACAGACCTATGGTCATACATAAGGTAAGTAGCTGTGTGCATATACACCTGTACGTACGTACCCTGTCCGAACCAAATAGATCGCCTTACAACTTTAACAACTGGAAAATTAGTTAGTACTACTTACAAAAAAAAACTTGTTCAGTAATTTGCGTTAACGTGGCCCCGGTCGTTGGGCTCGATGGCGCTACTATGCCTGTTGAGGAGTGTTGGTCGCAATGCGTCGTTGATGTTGCGTGTCGTTTCTGTCGTGTGCTGCTGATGTGGTAATTACACTCCGGTGTAGTTCAAAGCAGGATACATTACTTTTTGTAGCACAGCGGATCTATTGTGTATGCGAATCTCGTTTACGGATCCATTTAGCGGCGGTCTTCAGAATGCAAATTGAGCTGGTGATAATATAGGGATTAGCCTTTCGAGTGGAGGTAGCTTCCTTCACCAGGATTATGCATTAAGGCACACCCCTTAAACACCTTTTCGTAGCACTCCACTATGCATACACATTCAGTTGGTTAAATTGTTCACTTCCATTAAAACTGAAATGCTCCACCGATCACTGCTTGTGTAATGAACCACACGGAATGTTAACACAATTGAGTTTTTCAATAAAAAGGTACTTTTCCCCGCACAAACTAGCTAAACTTTGTCTCTCGCACACTCTTCTTTTATATATTGCAACCATACAGTTGAATTTAACGCCAGTCGAGAAAAATATCGTGACGGTTGCGTTGCCATCGGTTTTTATACCCTTGCATTGCGGAGTAGCATTGATGGCATGTTAGAGATGCCGCAGTGTTATCGATATGTCATGCAGGCCAATTGGGTTAATTTGTTTATTTCTTAGATTTTATAAGCAAGTTAGGGATGCATACGTTGATTTTGAAATTTACATAACCGATTTACGCGATGGTAAATGTAGATAAGGGCGTCAAAACTTATTAATTAGTTATTTTTATTTCAGGAAACCTAATGTTACATTTTATTTACTGTCTTTATCGACTATTGTTGAAAAGCTTAGTTTGAGAGAATGCTAACAAGGCTCTACCTATGCTAAGTATTCTCAAAATCGGATTGAATGATATCGGAAACTTTTGAGAAGAAATTAATGATTGTCTGTTAGGAAAAGGGAAAATGATTTTGTTAAAAAGTTTAAGTTATACTGGGCGCTGCATGACATATCGATTTTTGGGCCACGGGGCCATCTCTATATCACGCGCAATTCGGTAACGGGAGTCTCGCGTGATTTTTGTAACGGCAGTTTCGCGGAAATTTTATAACGGCAGTTCGCGCCGCCAATGAGATCCTGCCACGTAATAGTTCTATAGTGTGGCTTGTCTAAAAGGTTTAGTCTTCTCTTTTCCGCTTTTGCGCTTTTTATGTCCTGGCCGCAATGTTCCCTGTAGTGGCAACCCCGCCATGAATTGTCAAGATGGCAGAGTCTCATTGGCAGTTTTAGCGTTGCCGTACGCTCTGGTGAATTTTTCTGACACGTTACCGGGTGCACTATACGCCGAAGAATAAAATATTTAGATTTCTGTGCGGCAAACAGTAACCGATAACATCAGGACAAAGAAAATAAAGGTCGAAATTTTGTATTATCATTTTGAACTTATGTCGGATCGAATTCAAATATGAGACACCCTAAAAAAGAACATGTAGACAAATAAGCAAATATGTACTTAATGTTAAATGGAACAAGAAACAAATAAAAATATAAAAAATTTAAAAAAATCTTTTTGTTATTGATAGTTTATGTCCAAAAGTAGTTAGCTACAAGTTGACATATAATGCAGAGGAAACCAGTTCTCACTATTTTGCGGCCATCGCCCCTCAAAGGAGTTAGTTACGGCCAAAGGAAATAGTTAATAATTAGTTACCTCTAGTTAACTGCTAATTAGTTAATAGTTAGCTACAAATTTCCCATTTCCTGCAGGGTTATTTAAGACGGCAATGGAGGATATGCCTTCTGACAACCACAAACCCAAAAGTGGACGAGAATTTTTAGTAAAAAAGTTTGACCAAATGTTTTAATAAAAAATTAATTTTGGACTGAACGAAGTTCTCCGGGTCTGCTAGTATATAATAACTATATAATTTATTGGGTTTTCTACTTACAATTCATATCAATTTGTACCATCGCTTCAACAGCCGCCGATTTTATATGGCTCATCGCTTGACAACAGAGGCGTCCATTAAGATGTTCTCTTTTTAAGGGCCCGAATTTTATAACATTTTGGAGTGACTTAGTGTCGACATTAGCATATATTTCTGAATTTATTTGGATGTCTTCATAAAACCACGTCAATTCCGATCTAGGAGTGCCTACAACAAAATGCATATTACTAGATGATAGTTAATACTTACATATACATATACATATCGTTAGTATCCCTCCAAACCAAAGTTCCCGAAATCTTAACGAAATCTTTAGGAGTATCTGATTTCTGTAACGATTTTTCCGAATCTTCAAAGAAAATTATATGAAGTGGTTGACAGGAACTCGTAAAGAAATTTCTGTACGAAAAATAAAGAAAATTCTGAAAAAAGTCTGCAAGAAATTCTTCACATAGCAGCATTATTTTCATTTCTTTACCGATATTCTTCCGAAATTTCGTAAAAGAATGGAAGTGTGCGTAATTTATTTCATTTTAGAAAATTCGGCAAAAAATCGGATGGGATCTTTCCGAATTCTTTAAAATTTCTTTACGATTCAGAATACTCTGAAAAAATGGTTTGCAGGGATAGTATGGAAAGGAGGTATTTCACATCGTCTCTGAAAAAAGCCATAAATAACTAAAATTGTTTATTTCATAAAACGATGTGGGGGCTTATAATTCCATGATATAAATGCATGATAACGCGGTGCTACAGAAGAAAGCGTGAGTACTAGGTACCATGAACGAAAGACGTGCCGAAAGAAAGAAAAAAGTTATTTTGTAGCTGTTGAAATCTCGACGCCATCTTTGTTGTAAGAAGTAAGCAACGAAAAGAACAAAAAAAAAACGCGTAATTGTTGAACGCATGAATAATCATTTTTATTATGCAAATTCTTCTATAAATCATGTCGTTGTGTTAAATTATTCTTTACCTTATGTGTGCACACGTTGTCACAAGCGAAAATTAAGAAAATTGCAGTAAAAAGCCACCACCAAATTGTAAACAACGAACAAATGTAAACAAACGGCTAATGTCAAGGTCGCCCAACTTTTTTCCTAAAGGCTGATTCAAATACAACTTTTTTCGCTTTGCTTGATAGTTCTTTGCTTTGACATATAAGATCGATGTAGGCATATGCATGAGTATGCTCACCTAAAAAACGTTGGAAGCAAAGCAAAGCAAACCGAAGCAAAATATTGGGCAACTCTCAACTGTTGCCCGCTTTTTCAATCAGCTGTCTACATGCATCTTTTCTCGGGCGCTTGCATTTGCATTTCATGACAAAAATAGGGTAAATAGCAATTATTATTGCTATTATTAATGCATATTATTATATTGTTATCTATTTTAAAGATAAAAAATATGGAGAAAAAGGAGAACGCAAAAGCTGTCAAAGCGTTTATTGTAGCATACCTTCTGCGTTTCACGCTTTGTTGTCAAAGTTTGAACTGTCAAGCAAAGCGAGGAAAGTCCTATGTGAATGGCCCTTAAATGCGATTATAACGGGCTACTAAGGAGAAGGCGTGATCTTGTATTTTTGGTTCATGCTAGGTACTCATGAAATTTGATGTGTAAACATATGCGTATGGCGAAGTATAAACGTACTTTTACACATAAATATAATCAAATCAATCAAAGCTCGTTCGCCGTCAAATTTTTTCTGTTTGTTCAGTTTTACTCCGACTCCTAACGGTTGCATTTTTATGAGAAGCTGTTTTTCATGACAGAAATACACTCGGGGGTTTGCCATTGCCTGCCGAGGNAACATATGCGTACGGCGAAGTATAAACGTACTTTTACACATAAATATAATCAAATCAATCAAAGCTCGTTCGCCGTCAAATTTTTTCTGTTTGTTCAGTTTTACTCCGACTCCTAACGGTTGCATTTTTATGAGAAGCTGTTTTTCATGACAGAAATACACTCGGGGGTTTGCCATTGCCTGCCGAGGCACTATGGTCTGGCGACAATTATTTTCTGGCCAAAACTTAATAGAGGTTTTTCGAACTCGATGATTTATCCCTCTATTCTAACAGAGTCACAAAATTAGCTCATCACTGTTGTGATTTCTAGTGCGCCGAGAAATGTGTCCCAAAAAATTCGATTTTGAGTGCTAGAAAAAAATTTAAAAATTTGTATTGTAGCGGCATATTTTTGCAGCTTTGAGGCGCAGTAGAAATCACAGCAGTGATGAGCTAAAGTTTGTGATTTTGTTAGAATACGGCTGTTAAAGTCTGTGGTCAGATTTTTGAAATTGAAAATGGCGGATGCAATATGGAGTTACTGGGCCGTTACACATTCAATTTTCCCTTTTCAATTTTCAATACTCTCACACTTTTTCACTAACACACTCTTATTTATTACTTGAATGGGCAACTTGCTTTAAATTTTTCCCTTTCAATTGAGTTTCAATTTTGCTTTAAATTTTGATCAGCTTTTCAGCATTGGTGTGCGAATTTTGTGAAAATAAAAAAATGCTAAGCTTATGCATGTTAAAATGTTAATCTACAATAGAATTAAAATGGAAAATGTTCTTCAGAAGCTAGTTAGTTACATTGTTTTCTTGAAGGCGACATGTTGACACTGAAATTGCTTCTCAAATTGAATACAGCCCGTGATTCAATAAATAAAGGTTTGCTCATTATTGACATTAGAGTTTGACACTCCCTTAGCTCCCTTACAAAAGCTTTGCACACACACACGAACCCACATATAGTGCCTTGCTAAGGGAGCCGATTTTGTCAAGAGGGAGCGAGAATACTGCTTTTTGAGCAAACCTTTTATTGGCTGCATTTCTTTATACATTCCGGATAATCCCATTTCACAGCCGGAATAAACAGAATGCGTTTGAAATATACGTTAACATATCACCAGGAACGTTCTAAAGAATAAGTAAACAAAAAAGTTTATTCCAAACGTTCAGAATGAATAAATAAATGCAGCCATTATTGAATCATGAATACAGCCTACGTAATGGCTTTCAATTTTGATGATTTTTGATAAGCAATGTGTGGTAGGAAATTTAAAGGCAAAACTGATTGTATGTCGTCAGCGTTATCAGAAAAAAAATTAATTTTAAAAAATTTGTTTAGGTTTTGCTTTATATGTTTTTCTAGTCAAAGCTGCTTCAAATAAAAACTCTTTCTTTTAATTATAAGCTTATATTTGAATTTATTTGAAAGGATACTAGCACAGCAAGTATAATACTAATAATTAGGATAGATATAAAGTTGAAAAAAAAATAACGTAACGTACAAGTTTAAACAAAAAATGCAAGAATGAATTTTTCACCTCCGTACTTGCATATCATTCTTGCTACTTCCTTTATGTAGTTGTTATATTCTGCGGATATGCTCCCTCTAATAATATTTCGCAGAAAAATGTTTAAAACAGCATTTTTTTTGCATTTTTGTTGACTTCTGCTTTTCAAACATCGAAAAGCATGGCAAAACAAGTGTTCTAATAAATAAGCCCATTATTAAAAATATGCAAAAAAGTGCAANATTTTTTTGCATTTTTGTTGACTTCTGCTTTTCAAACATCGAAAAGCATGGCAAAACACACCTGGAAGTGTTCTAATAAATAAGCCCATTATTAAAAATATGCAAAAAAGTGCAACATGATTCTCAGCCCTATTTTGTAAAGCTCTACTTCAAACAAAGGTGGCGCCTTCGCGGACCGCTAATCCTCCCTTTCACGATTTGATAGCATACACCCTCTCGCTGACGTCACATTATTATTTTTTCGCACAAGCGATGAACATTAAATTTTCATATTGTACCCATTTGCCGGAAAGTTGTACCTAAAAGTAGATACACGTACCTAAACAGTAAACATGTATTTTTATGTGCATATATTTTTGATAGTTGGACTTACATGAAATAATATTTTACTACGTTCCAAATGTACCTAAAATAATGAGCTTGTACCGAATGTACGTTCAAATTTAAGAAGTTGAAGAGTAGGTACAATTCAATCTAGTTTTACATCACAAGACAACTGACTACGAAAGAAATCAATTTGTAAACTTTTAGTAAAAATTACAACTTTAACAGCTGATATTTTAACTGGAAAACTCTTTAAGAAAATAATGAGTATGTACTCTTTTATTCAGGAGAATTAGTTTAGTGAAGGGAAAAATCGCTTTATCGATACTTTAAAAAATGACTTTTGGCCAGCAAGTAGTAGCTGCCAGACCATAGTGCGAGGCAGTGTTGCCGCCGCTCAAAGAACTTTCTAACCAAGATTAGACGAAAAAGTTACCAAATGTAAGGAGAAATAACCAATTTTTTTATTAGATTAACAATTCAGGTTATCACAAATTCTTTTATATAGTATGTATAGACATATTTAACAAACCAAATTAAANTGTATAGACATATTTTACAAACCAAATTAAATCAATTTTTATTTGCATTTTTGATCAGTAAAACCGTTTAAGGCTGAAAATAACAGAAATACATTCATGTATATAAGTACATATTTTAGAAAATCAGGCTTCCCCTATTAGGTGCATATGTTTTTTTTTCTAGAGGTGGCACAAAGTATTGAAAGCCGGAAAGTGTGGGACTTGCTTTTCGGCTCACCTCACTAAAAACCCACCCCTGCTCCGATTCCCTCGCTCCGTGAAACTACCGTTAGGCATTACTTCGCCGAGGGGGAGCGGCCTATTGCCTCTCTATGAAAACCTGAGCATTTGTTCCGCTCGACGCAATTTAGTCAAAATGGTGTTTGCCATATTGCAAACAACGGACCAGTTTTCTTCTGACTCAAGCATATTATCCACTAGGTTTTCAACCGTAAGTGGCCTCCCCACCTTCATGCTCGAGTCATCCCTTTCGATTGCAAACCTCGGACAGACGAAAAAACAGTGTTCAGCGTCTTCAATAACGTCATTTGCACAGAAGGTCCAGTAAGAATTGTCTTCGTGTTTGAATTTATACAAGCCAGATTTATGTAAAACAACCATGTCCCGTCAGTATTTGGGTCACCGTGCCGTTTTTCTCGCCAGCTTCGTAAAGAAGGAATTAGGCGATATGTCCAGCGTCCCTTACCTGAAGTGCCCCATCGACTCTGCCACCTCTGCAAACAATTTTGCTTCGCCGCGTCACGACTTGTCTTATTCACTGTGGTTTCAGTCACCTCTCTTGCCAAAATGTCAATTG